GGAAAATTTGACCACACACTCGCGTTATATTTGTAAAATTTCATACTCAAAAAACATCTCGTCCGTCTTTCGGATCTCATTACTAACTAAAAATTATTGTTAACTAAAATCGCGAAGAGAGAGAGAGAGAGAGAGAGAGAGAGAGAGAGAGAGAGAGAACGAGTGATAGCGGTGGAAAGATGGAGGAAGCGTGCGACGTACAGACAAACCTAAAAAAAAATAGTTTGAGAAAAATGATAGAGAAAGATGAATAGAAAGAGAAAATATTGTTTGATAGTGCATTATACACATCGACAAATGTAGAGTCAAACTGGAGAAATAAAAATAAATACTTACCCCCAACTTGAGTACTCTACGAGGTACTGAAATATTAAGAGTGAGATATAGAGAGAGAGGGCGTGAGTGAGGTGGTGAGGGGGAAGGAGAGGGGGAGGGAGAGGGAAAGAGGGAAAATAAGAGAGAAAGATAAATATGAAAAAAGAAAACCTAGTTTTACTGGTCATCATACATATAGATATAAAGAAAATTGCAGAGATAAAAATAAAACGTAATATCTTTAGCAGGCCACAAGATGTTGAAAGTGGTTAAGAAAGGGGGAAAGGAGGAGAAAAAATATATAGAAAAAGAAACAGAAAGAGAAAGAGGGAGAAAGGAAGAAAAAGTAAGAATTAGGAAAATTGAAAGAGTGTGAAGGGAAGAGAGAGAAATAAAAAAAGAAAAGAGAGTAAGCGAGAGAGTGAGTGAGAAAAAGAGAGAGATATTGAGTGAGAAAGTGAATTAGTGGGAGAGGCTAGACAAAAACATTGAGTGGTGAGAGAGAAAGACTAGGTGACAGTCAGTGTGTTTAAAAGTTTCTGACGTCTCTCTTTTGGATATTTGAAGAAGAGAGAGGGTGGGAGGGAAGGAGGGAGAGAGAGTGAGAGAGAGTACTATGAGAATAAAGAGGTATGTTTGACTAACATAGAGAAAGAAATAGAAATAATAAAGGTAAATATTGAATCATGTAATAAGGAAGATCTGACATGAGTACATGAATGAGGGTGGGAAAAAAAGGCAACACAGTAATCGAGAGAAATTAAATATAGTTTGAACAAGAGATAGAGATGATTTGAAAAACTAAACAAATTTGGAGAAAGAGAAAAAGAGTAAGAAAGAGAATGAGAGAGAGAGAGTGAGAGATGGGGGAAATGAAAGAAAAAGAGAGAGGAATTGAGAGAGATAAGGATTGACAGAATTGGTCAGATAGAAATATCTCCAATGATGATGACCATGCTGTACGGTTTAAAATAAGTTTTTTTCATTATGCTTACCAGTACAGAGTTTGTGTAGAAATAACTCTTGTTTTTCCTTCTTCTTTATGGATGAAATAATGACCGTACTTTCAATTCGCACAGCTTTATATGGTTAATGCTTAATTGAGTGTGTGAATTGTAATTCATGCATATTTTGTTCTTTATAATGCCTACTTTATTTCCGTAATTACACCATCGATCGCTGTGAGGTAAAAAAACCAGGACTATCTTGAATGAAATTGGCCCTTTTTTTGCCAAGGCAATCTGCTATTTCATTGTCGGCAATAACTTCGCGCCCTGGGACCCATTCAAGCCCAACTTGCTCCTTCCATTCCATAAGTTCGAACGCATTTGGACTAACCTAGCCGATCGCATCTTACTATGGTACTTTAATGACATTGGTGCGTTTAAAAAGATTAGGTTTTTTATACAACGCGATACCGTAATAACAAACAAATATGTATTAGGGTTTTAATAAATATTAAAAATGATGTAAAAATAATCTTTAAATATTAATAAATTTAATAATCAATGGTTTTTCTGACATTTTTTCTTATCATGTAAGGTTCTCATGTTGGTTATAACCAGATTGTAGGTATAATAAAATATTTTCTCTCTTTTATGCATTTGTACGATAAAATTAGTAGTCTAGGCCAAAAAATAATCTCAATTCGCACCTTATACCTTCCGTTTCTCAGTGAAGGCGTGAAGTCGAAACACTTGGGACAGATGAGTAAACCAGCGAGAATAGGGGAAACCTGTAAAGTACCTATCAGTTTATTATTAATATTAGCCAATTACTATTACTATTTTGCCAAAACCTGGTTGTACAGGTATGCAACAAATGATAAACACTATCAGGAAAAAAAGATAGCATATATATGCCATAGATTGAAGGCGGCAGAGAGCAACTTATATATCTGAAAGAAAAACTAGAATTCGATCAGCCGTCAGGATTTATTTTTCTCCCGAACTTGATTCAGTTTATTAACTGCTTAAAATCCAAAAAGGTGTTATCTAAGCCAAAGCCAGATAATCTCCCTTCAAAGCTCACTATATAAAAAATTAACGAAGGCTAGTCCACTTGTTTCAATATTGCAACCAGGCCGCATTCAAAATCCAATTTCTGACCAGTGACTAACTTTGATCTTGACTCGTGAAAATTGATCAGTGTCAGCTTCACTGCTTATTGACTGACTACTCAACTACTGCCCACCAGTGACTACCCTTTTTGGTACCTTTTGTAAACCTCCCCGAGGTCGCTAAACGTGGAGATTTTCTTCCCTTGACGGTCGTTTCTCTTTGGCGTTTCCATTTGGCATTTCTTGACTTTTTCTTTGGAGGAGATTCTCGAGCTCAGAGAAGACACCAAATCAACTTTCTCATTATTCAAGACAGTTAAGGTAAGAATGTTTACAATATTAATTATTAGTTAGTGACAAAACTAATTAGCTATACAAAAAATAACCTTCTCCTGGCATATACATACATTTTAAACTATATTTCGAGGTCACTAATGTTAAGCAGCAATGGGAATAGAGAAAAATGTATACATTCTTAGTGAAAGATTTATGAGTTCAACATATGCACATGTATAGACAGATATATCACAGGTAGGGATCCCCTGACTCTTTCACTACTGATGGAAAACGCCAACCTTTCCCACAACACCACCCATAAAGTAATCACTTTATGGGTGGTGTTGTGGGAAAGGTTTATCAATTAATCCTGCTAAACTAGAATTGATAATGATTAGCAGGAGAAGAACATTAGGTAATTTTTAAAACCCTAAATGTCAGGGCATAGAATTAAAGTTAGTGGATTCAATCAAATTCCTTGGTGTGACACATGATAGGAAACTTGATTGGAAAGGTCATATTAATAATATATACAGGAAAGGCACCATATCAATGGTACAATGTAGGAGCATTGTCGCTAAAACATGGGGCATCAAACCATGGGTAGCCAAATGGCTATAAACTGCAATTATTCTACCTAGATTCTTTTTCGCAGCTTTAGTGTGGTGGAACGGTCTAGAAAATAAAGGGAATAGTAATAAATTAAGGTCATTTCAAAGACTAGGTTGTTTGATGATGACAGGAGCATTTTCAACTACACCCACCCTAGCACTTGAAATCATAACCAATACCACACCCCTTCACATTGAGGTTAAGGTCAGAGCACTAATCAGCTGCTACAGATTAATCGTGAAGGCAGCTGGAACCATAAGTGCTATAACATAGGTCACTCGAAAATCCTACAACTATTGAGTAAGGTTAACGGTCAATTATTAAGCGTTGGATAAAAAGATTAAAACCCCTTCGGCGAAAAAGCACTTTCAGGTAGTCACCCCTTGTGATTATGATTATAGTCTGGATGATGACCATCGTAACATACTGTTACAAAGATGGATCACTTATCAAAGGTAGAGGGAGTGGTGCAGGAATTTACATACCAAAATTAGGAATCAGCATCTCCTCCCCTCTTGACAATAACACCTCCGTTTTTCAGGCGGAAATCTGGGCCATCAATATGTGTTGAAGAACACTGATGGAAAATAAAACTATGGGAAAAGATATTAAAATCTTTTCTGACAGTCAGACTAGTCTTAGGTCATTACAAAAAGATTTGTTAACCTCACGACTGGTGGAGGAAACTATAGATCTTATCAATAGGATCTCTTTCAGGTTTGAGAACAAGGTAACCCTTATTTGGATAACTGCACATAAGGACACCAGGGCAATGAAAAGGCGGATGGCCTAGCCAAAGAAGGTTCTAATACTGCGTTTGTTGGGCTACAACCGGTATTCCCCCACTCTATGAGCACAGCGAAAGAGAGTATCAATAACTGGGGCATGAAACAATTCCTTAGGGAGTGGAATCTATCCCCCGGACTCAGGCAATCGAAAGAGTTTGTTAAGGCGATCAAACCAGCTGAATCGAAATGGCTATTCTCTATCTCAAGGAAGGGAATTAGGAGGCTGATAGGTATTCTGACGGGCCACTGCCCACTGAGAAGACACCTCTTCGTAATGGGTATCCTACCAGATCCCTTTTGCCGCTTCTGCGAAATAAAAGAAGAAACGGCAAAGCACTACCTCGAAGAATGTGATAGGTACGCTAGGTCTAAATTTGAAACTTTTAAAGGAGAGGACATCACCAAATCACTCCCCCGAGATAAAATGGTCCAAAATTTTGGGGTTTGTGAACAAGTCCAAGAGGTTTATGCAGGACACGTGAGCCTATCAAGTCTCGGACCTTTTAGGGATACGAGTCTACCCAAGCATTTAACCCCTCGGGTCTTGGTCGCCCACCCTGCATAACATATATTTATATAGACAGATATATAATAGGGCTTATGACTTCTCATCCACTTCGGTGTTTTGATAGACTTTGATCATATAAGTCCTTCTCCAAGGGCTGGAAACAGCTAGGTCTTGTAAACTCACAACGCTTCAAGTTTTTAAACTATGACACATGCAATTAGTGCAATTGTAGGGTCAGAAAGCTGGAAAGGGGTGGTCAGGTTGGTTCGTACCGTTCTTATTCGTCCCTATCTAAATCTGTGTGTCTGGGACCCGTGGTAACAGTATAAATTCCTCATTATTAGGATTAGTTATTACTTATTAAAAATAGGGATTTTCATAGCTCGTTACTAAGCCTAAATAAGAAGGCACAATTCATAAAACCTTGTTTTTCTTTTTTTTCTTTTTTTTCTATTTTTTTAGTTTTAGTGGAGTTCGGTCGAATGATCCATAGGCGGTCCTAATATCCATTTTTTCGTGTTGACTCCGATTTCGGCTTTGCCCATAGAAGAACCGACGGCGAGTCCCCGGCCGAGGGCGTCTAATTCTTTAGGCAACTTGATCTTGTATTTGGCCAAACCGGGCAACTCACTCAAGTCATACAGCTGAAAAAAATATATATCAGCAGACATTAAAAACCTGCCGGCGAAAGTATTTCTTTGTGCATACCATGTTGAAGTCAACATCACTCGGCCTCGATCGGCATTGGAAGGCCTTCAAGAGGTATTCCATTCTTCTGATGGGCGTCTTTGACACCGTTGGGTCGTCAGGTTCGTCGTACGCGTCTTCCTTAAGGAGTCGTAAAACTTGCACTCTGTAATCGTACAACTCGCCCTAGAGAAATTATTTCGTACATTATACGCTTCGAGCATGATTTTGAGAATGGAGGGATGGTACCTCTAAGTCGCTGATTCTGTCTTGGGCTTCTTCTATTTCTTTGAGTACGTCAGCTGCAGTCGCTACTTCCGTCGGTTTTCCACCTAGTCCGAGCCTGAGCAGCTCTTTGGCTCCTTCCGGGTAGCAGGGTTTTGTGTAGAGCATCATGAGTATCCCGATTATCAACTCCGAGACACCATGGTTGTCCAAGTAGTCCTGGAATTCCTTGCATTGTTGCATTTCCCGCTGGATGTGCACGGGCTGGAACAAAACGTAGAATCGTGATAACCTGTTAAACAGATCGATATTGCTCAGTTTACAGAGTTCTCTGAGAGTTTCGGGCTTGCTCGCACGTATCGATCCGCCAGTTGGACATCCACCGGAAGGTCCTCGTCCCGTCCCATTTTCCACCAAAGGTTTTTCATTTTTCGAAGCTAGAACGGACCGAAAAAGTCAATTTTCCATTACAATGAGTATGAATTTTGGGGGTTGTACCTCATGCGCTAGGTTCTCTTCTTCTTCTTCCGTTTCCGGTTCTTCCTTGTACGGTTCCGGTTCGATATCTACGTCCGCCTCGGCTATCTCGATCTCCTCAATTTTTTTTCTAATAGCGTAAGCGACATTCCAAATCGTGAGGATTCTGTGCCTCAACGTCTGGTTCTTGTTCAGACGACGAGTCCCTTGTTTCGGCAGTTCAACCCCCGGCCATCTCTTCCTCCTCGTTTTAGGGGCAAAGGTGAATTTCTGAAAGTAAAAGTAAAGAAGAAAACGTCTGATTAATAAATAGGAGTTTGGTAGATTGTTGTGTTTATAAAAAAGAACTAATAAAAGTAGTTTCTCAAATAAACATAAGATAAACAATCCGTGAAGTGCTTAAGCGATTATATAATTGTGTTTCAAAGTATTGACTGGCATGACGTAAATGCCATAGTTCAATTTACGTTTTGGTAAGGGGTACTTTTGTCCGGGACGACATCCACGCCGATTATGGATGCCAATTCGATCAATTTCGATTGCGGAGTGGAGGGTTTCTCGTCATCGTCTTCGTCCTCGTCGAAACTTTCGAGGGACTCGTTGTCGTCATCGCTCGAAGAGGGAAAGCTGCTTTCCGTTCGCCTTCTACGCGAGTTGGCGTAATCCTCTTTCGTTCCATCGGGGTCATTCAACAGCCTGTCCATGTAACTGTGATAATCGTAAACAGGTATGACGTTGAAGGGGTTTCGGTTTTTGGACGCCCCATCCACATGATCGATGGGATAAAGGGGCAGGGCAATGTTGGTCACAACCGGAGTTTGTTTTCCCGTTTGACGGTTTATGAGACTGGAGCTTTCTTGTTTAGACATACTGGAAATTTAGCGAGGGGAAAAACTACAAAAAATTTAAACGGGAAGAAAAAATCAAAATTTAAACAGTGTAAAAAAATACAGGCCAAATTACATTATATTTTTGATTATAAATAGATAACATATGTTGAAATTTTACCGTTCTTTCGTAAAAATTGTTCACTTGAGTGTCCAATGCGCTAATCTTGGCCGAATCCTTGTCGTCCGATTCTTTGCGGGAAACGTCGTCGGTCTCTTCGGAATTCGAACCGTCTTCGCTGCTTTCCATTCTGGACGATAAATCATCATCATCGTCGCCTTTGAGGATTTTGTTAATGTATCTTTTGACTTCGTAGAACGGAATCCTCTCGCTCAGCTTCCTGCCAGAGTAACGCTCGGATATGTGGTCGATAGACGCCCTAGGAAAATTGCTGCGCACTTCCTTTCTGAAAAGACCTTGGTAATCATTAATATTGAATAGAACCATTTTTCTTAATTGTTATTAATATTATATTGAAACGACAAAAGAAAATTTATGACGAAGAGAATTAGCCTACAAAACTTAAACCCGATAAAATAAAAAATAATAAAAAATCAGCTTGTTTTAATTGAATAATTTGTCTTTGTTTCAATGTGTGTTTTATTGTTTGATAAAAAAAAAGATTTTAAAAGCCGTTATGTTGAAATCTCCTAAAAATATACGATTTTTTTAGTGAAGTACATATTTACAAATGCCGTGACGACGTGGTTGACTCCTGCGTTTACTAGGGTATAGTTCGTATCCACTTATAAATATTTTGAATCTTTTTTCTCTTTACTCTTTCTTTTTTTAAATTTTATCACCACAGACACAAGTTGGAAACCGTGACGAAATGCTTTTAAAACTCATCCTGTATATTGTAACGATTGCTTACTCGAACGACATACCTTTCCAGGGCGACTCTCTGAGCGCTGTCTGGGCTGTACGCGACAGGTTCTCTGTGGACCCTCTCGTCGTGCTCTTGTTAGAAAAATACGCGTCTCTCGAAAAAACGGTGGTAGTTGTGTGGATTCCCAGACACGTCGGCCTGGAGGGTAACGAACGCGCGGACGAGGCGGCGAAAGCCGGTACGTCCCACCCTCCGGATCGGACCATCGCGATCAGGCCCCCTGACGCTAAACACGCAGTAAAAAATATGATAAAAGAAAGATGGCAGCGTCAGTGGGCGGGGTCGTCGGAGAGGCTCTTGCGAGTCAAGAGCACGACCGGTAGATGGCCCTCAGAGAACCTGAGCAGGAGACGAGGGATCGTCCTCACCAGACTGAGGATTGGCCATACGCGGTTGACACATGGGCACCTGCTTTTGGGCCAAAGCCCGCGCAGGTGCCCCTTATGCAGAGAAAGGTTGCTCGATGTGTCCCACATAATAGAGGCGTGTCATGCCTTTGCGCCATACAGAGAGCGTGTAGGCATGCCGCCGGACTTAAGAAAAGTTCTCGAGCCCTGCAGCGAGTTTCAGTGTCTCCTGTTCCGCTTTTTAGGGGAAATTGTTTTTTTTTTTATTGTATATAGTATGTCTTATGTGTTGTGTGTCTATATGTTTCGTCTGAGTCCGGGGTCGATGGCGGAATATTTATAAAAGTACTCCATCGACCCCAATCAAGATTAGTTTGAGTATAGGTCGGTGGAGGAATATCAAGTACTCCACCGACCAAACGGAATGAGTGTACTGTATGGATGTATTTATGTGTATGAATGTATTTATTTGTATGAATGTAGTGTTTGAAAGGGTAAATAGAATATAGACATAGTTGGGAGCTGAAATGACCTAGATGTCGGAAGCCCCAGTCAAAAAACAAATAAATAAATAAAATAAATTATGCCACCGCTGGGGTTTAAAAAAATTAATATATAAATACTAAATGAAAAGTTTTACGATCTTTTTTAGGTGTTTTTCAGGAACTTAGAACCATTTCAAAATATCCTTTTATTACATCGATATCGATTTCTCGGGCACCAGCCTCCCCTCTTCAATCTACATAGTAAAATTAACAAAATTACATATTACGAACAATTTTTTCCATATAATTTTAAATAAAACATAGTTACATGGTTAACAAGGTTAAAAAGACACCTACCTGGTTTCAATTTTAGAACCGCACAAATTCGAAGGCACTTACGCGATATATGGGTTACCCTTATTATTTGGTCAATTAATTAATCTTAATGTAAGGTTTTCGTTGAAAAGAAAAAAATAGTGTCACGAGCGGGATTCGAACCCACCATCTTCCGCTAATACGCCGCTGCTCTACCACTTCGTCATGACTTCGATCCACTCGGACACACTTCCCATCTCAACCCAACCTTTCGAATTTTCCCTCCTTTTTGTCGAAGTCACGATAGCTCAAGTGGTAGAGCAGCGGCGTATTTAGCCGAATGTCGTAGGTTCGAATCCCGTTCGTGACACTAACTTTTTCATTTCAACCAATACCTTATATACAGATTAATTAATTGAAACATTTGGTCAATCGGACCACCAAATATAATGGTCTTATTATTTGAGTTATGATGTATTCTTCCAATTCAAAATGGTGTACTGTTAATGTACATGTTCTTTTATTTAATTTTACCCTAACTACTTTTATATTTACACATTTACGAAATTTTTTTAGCCAATTTGTATGTTAATATTATTGTCTTCTAAATTTATATAGATATTTTCTAGTTCTATTAGCTTGGAATCATTCTTTTTTATCTAGAATCTTAATATCATCGAAATTAATTTTATGTTCAGTTATTGTTGCATGTTGTTCCAACCCAGTTTTTTCATTTTTCTTTTTTACATCTATTTTGTGTTGGTTAACTATTTTTTAAAAAAGAGAACCGTTTTTCCAATACCTTTTTGCAAGAGCATTGTAGTTTATAAACTTTATACAAAAATTTTAAACACCACACATTTATAAACTATCTTACACTGTTTTAGTTTCGTTACTGTTTCTTTTATAGAAGGTAAAATGTTATGTACATTTTCACTGATGTACGTGTCAAATTTAAACTTTTTTAATATGTTTTCTCTTTTGAGTGCTTTTATTAATTTTTCAGTTAGGCCTTCTACAAAATAAACAAACATAATAAAAGGATATTTTGAATTGGTTGTAAGTTCCTGAAAAAACGCTTCAAAAGATCTTAAAACAAGCCAACAATCAATAAGTACGAAGAGAAGAATAAATAAATGAAAATATGATGAAATAAAAATAGTTTAAATAAATGACAGACCCTTATTGAAGCACAAACAAAACCAAAACATAATTTTTTAAGAAAATAAACTGTGTTAAAGAAAATTACCAAATACAATCGAAATTTAGTGTTCCCCATTGACCCTTCCAGCAGCCAAGGTTGTGACCTCCACTAACAAGGGGACGACCAGGTTGGTGTGTCGCGGATTTGGACAAAACTTTTTTTGGTGTGATTTTACATTCTCAATGATAGGATACGCAGCCGCCACGTTTGGTAAATAGGCCCTGGTTTCGGTTAAAATTTTTTGAAACTTGAAAGTTTCCATTTCTTCATATTTTTATTTCGCCGTTTTACTTGTTAAAATCAAGTATGTGAATATATCATTTTACAGCTTTTTTTAGGTAGATTGCAATAAAAATATAGTAAAAGCTATCAAATTTTAGCAATAATAAAAAAAAACAAAAAACAATTTTTTCAAGTAAACTAAGCAATAAATTTTTCTCTTACAACTAATATGAAAATTCGTTTTTTCATTACTGTATACTGCAATAATATCATGACAAAAGTATGTCTATGTCATTCCTATGATCAAAAGGTACGCTTCTAAAAAGATCTGACCAGTAGATTTCAAGATTACCTTTTACTGTGTGGTGATTAATGACCGTTAATCGATATTTATTTAGAAATCGTGAGATGCGGTCTGGTGTGATGTAGGTTTCGGAAAAACATTTTCTTTATCGTGCTAACGTTTCGATCTTTATTGAGATCATCTTCAGTCCTGGGATTTACAAACATTGTTTATATTTAACAAATACATTTTGGATGTAGAAAAGTGAATCTATACAATGCAAAATATATTTTATATATTCAATCAAAGTATTTCTTAGTCATAGTATAACTTCAAAATAGCTTTCGAAAATTATAAAACAATTCAAACACTTTTTTCCAAATTAAAGATCCCACACCAATAACTAATAAATCTGACGTAATCTACAAGATCAACTGTTTAAACTGTCCGGCAACTTACATCGTTCTTACATCGCAATATCTGGACAAGAGTATAAAGCAACATATCTATGATTGCAAAAAACCTAAGCAAAATCCTACAGCACTCGCTACCCACCATCTTGAATCAACACAATTTCGACTTCAAAAATCCAAAAGTATTACCCACAGAACAAAACAAACATAAACGTAATTTCTTAGAAATGGTTTATATCAACAGAGATAAACACAGCATCAATTACAGAACAGATAAATGTAAACTCAGTCGCAGCTACGCCAATATCATTAATCAAATTCAATACAGATAACATACCTATATCATCACATTACATTCCATGCATCAAATATTTTTCACATAGTCTAATTTCCCAACAATTTAGCTTTCCTTTTCCTATTTATCCCTTTCTATATAATCCTGAAAGGATAATCTGGCCGAACCATTACCAACACATTTTTCCCCTTCGACGGCTCTTTTGAGCTCAAAGAAGCCGACGCCTTATACAAAAATGTCTTTTCTATACCGACATCCTTCCCCACCCCTTCAAAATCCAACGTATATAAACACAAAATAGCAAAATCTCACTGGCACTCTCGACACGACACGCAAGAATGGCACAATTACATAGAAGACAAACACTTTGAGTGAGTAGAAATACTTTGATTGAATATATAAAAAATATATTTTGCATTGTATAAATTCACTTTTCCACATCCAAAATGTATTTGTTAAGTGTAAACAATGTTTGTAAATCCCAGGCCCTGAAGATGATCTCAATAAAGATCGAAACGTTGGCACGATAAAAAAATGTTTTTCTGAAAATCATCACACCAGACCGCATCTCACGATTTCTAAATAAATTACATTTTACATACAAACAAAATTTCTCTTTATTATATTTGTATAGATACTTAC